TACACTAACTGCAGAGCCAACAACTACACTAACTACTGAAGGAACCACTGAAGGAAGTGGCAGTGAAGAACAATCAACTATTCCTTATACAAAACAACAAACTACAACTGAAATAATAACCACTGCACCAACAACTACACTAATTACTGAAGGAACTACTGAAGGAAGTGAAGAACAATCAACTACAGCTAAAACAATAACTACTAAGCCAACAACTACACTAACTGCAGAGCCAACAACTACACTAACTACTAAAGGAACCGTTGAAGGAAGTGGCAGTGAAAAACAATCAACTATTCCTTATACAAAACAACAAACTACAACTGAAATAATAACCACTACACCAACAACTACACTAACTACTGAAGGAACTACTGAAGGAAGTGAAGAACAATCAACTACAGCTGAAACAGTAACTACTAAGCCAACAACTACACTAACTACAAAGCCAACAACTACACTAACTACTGAATGGACCACTGAAGGAAGTGGCAGTGAAGAACAATCAACTGTTCCTTATACAAAACAACAAACTACAGCTGAAATAATAACCAGTACACCAACAACTACACTAACAACTGAAGGACCCACTGAAGAAAGTGAAGAACAGTCAACTACAGCTGAAACATTAACTACTAAGCCAGCAACTACATTAACTACAAATCCAACAACTACACTAACTCCTGAAGGAACCACTGAAGGAAGCGGCAGTGAAGAACAATCAACTGTTCTTTATTCAAAACAACCAACTACAGCTGGAACAATAACTACACCAGCCACTGAAAAATCCACTGAAGGAAATGGCAGTGGAGGGCAATCAACTGTTACCCGTACAACACAAACAACTACTTCTATGGAAGGCTCAACCCAGTGTATTCCAGTTAGTGATGAACTGTGCCAGTACTTTCTGTCTGATGTATTTGTTGAGTGCGAAAATAATACCAAACGATTAGAATATTACAATTCTTGTTTCAACCTCTGTAGACATAAGTACTGTGCATTTCTAGAAGACTTTGCTAAGCAATGTAAATCTGACTGTATGCATTGGAGAAACCAAGCATGTCGTAAGTTTTGATTATTGTGAAGATCACTATTTCAACAAACATAACATTTTTCTTTTAGAATATTGTATGATATTACACAAATATATAAGACATAATACATGTGAGCATGTTTGATTAGATATCTCCTGTCCACAATTTTGTTACAAGCTATTGACAAATCATTAAGTATTTATATATGTACATTTGTATTAAGCTCTATAGTTACACATTAATAATTAATAGTAACATTTCATACGCCATCTGGGAGTGTGTAATATTCAATAACTATACCTTTCAGCTGCTGTTGAATGTCCCTATGGTTTGGAATACATGGAATGTGGAAACACGTGTAATAACACGTGCAACAATAACTGTGATGGAAGTATACAACCTGGGTGTTACTGCCCACATGGCACTTATGATAAAAATGGAAATTGTTGTCGTAAGTAATGATTTTATTTAATTGTTTAAAGGATCAATTAAACGTATCAGTAACCTCATACAAATTTGGATTATATTAAAATAATATTAATGTAAACTATGTCATTGCCTAGCATGTTGCATCGCTGAGATGGGGTGTCCAGAAGATTTACCACCACCAACTTGTGCTCCTGGGCTTGAACTATACTCACATACTGATGACAGTGGATGTTGTTCACGAACAGTTTATACATGTTGTAAGTATTCCGGAGAACAATAAATATATATGTCACAAAGTCGTACAGAAGAATTCAATATGGGCAGTATACTATACTGTACAAAAAATACATGTATATATATATATACGGCGGCGCCACCCTACCAAAGAGCTCTACGTGAAAGCGGCTACAACCACCAATTAAAGTTTGAGACCCCCCGGGAGAAGGGTAAAAAAAAACGGCCACGCAGTAATGTCTTTGGTACAACCCACCATATAGCTGCAACGTCCGTAACAGTATCGGCAAGCGATTCCTGGATTTAATTGATAAGTGTTTCCCGACTGGCAATAATCTCAGGAAAATATTCAACCGAAATACCATCAAAGTCAGTTATAGCTGTATGAACAATATAAAAGATACCATCAACAGTAAAAACAAACGGCAACTCGCGACTGATAAGAGCACCACAACTGATAAAACGAAAGTCAACAAACTATGCAATTATCAGAAAAAACGGCATGTCCACTGGACGGGAAGTGTTTGCAGTCCGGCGTGATATATCAAG